TCTACGCACATCACTCACCATTTATTCAATCATTATCTAGTTGGATTCATTCATTCAAAGACAATGTCACAGAAAAGGAAAGATATAGAATCGAACGAAGAGGATAAACCAGAGAAGAAGAAGAAAAAACCTTCATGTGCAATCCCAGGAGGGTTTCCAGAGTATGTGTTTTGATATGATAATGATGCTCTCAAACATGTTCATTAACATTTTACTAGGTACCCTGTCCTGCAGGAGGTTCTCAAGAGATATAGTTGGACCACGATCAAGGACCCCATATTCACACCCAAGTACGAACCTCATCTACCATCATGGAAGAACATTCCAACGTCAGTGAATCCAATTGACTACTTCAAGTGCATGGTTAATCAAAAGTTGGTAGATAGGATGCTTTATGACTCGAACAAACTCGATCAATTTCAGAATGCAGCCAAGCTACAATCAAAGGAAGTCTACACATACATTGGGTTGATACTAGTCAGCGTTGTTATGGGAATCTCCAACCACCCGGACCTCTTCTCCCATGGAGAGTACTCGTATACATATCCTGGGAAGGGTGAGGCCATGGGCAAGGACCGGTTCAGCGTCATCCACCCTCACTTGACAATCAACCTGGAGAAGATGAGAAGCATCCTCGAGACCAACTTCCTACATCACCTGTCGCCAGGCACTTTTCTTACCATTGATGAGTCAAGGATCAAAGCAAAACCAACAATGCATGCTGGCCTCAGTTACAACAAGGAGAAGCCAGAGAAGTGGGCGTTTGAAATCAACACTATTGGTGACACAGATACACGTTATTTGCTTGGGATGATGCCATCAAAGGAGGCGACAGGAGAGATAGCTTTGGCCCAATTGATTGAGAAGATGCCACTCGATAAAGACAAACACTACCACCTCACTGCTGACAGCAAGTTCTCAAACTTTGCTCAACTCAAGAGACTCAAACTTATTGGCATCGAAGCAACTCTCTGTATTAAAAAGGGCAGACTGCCCTCAGAGGTCTACAAGGTTGGAATAGCTAATTGTTTGCCTCCAGGTCTCTCCAGGTTTGCTACACAGGAAGGCATAATTGCTGCAGCTTACCACAACAAGAAAATAATCCAGCTCGCGACAACCTTCTTCGATGTCCAGGAATCTCCAGAGAGAAGGTTACAATCTGAACGACAGGATATACTAGATTTGTATGACGACACCAAGAGAGGTCTTGATCAGTTCAACCAACTTGCAACTTACTTCTGGCATGACCATCCCCATTCCTCACAACAACAGAGTCAACAACTTGGATACATTTCCTATGCCCTTACCAACTCCTATATTATGTATACAAGGAATGTCAAAGATCCAATGTCTCATCGTAACTATGTCAAGTCGATCGCAAAGAGTCTGCTTGTCAAGAATGAATGACATTCTTCTGAATGACGTGCATATGTCACACCCATTGGGAATGAGTGGGTGTGAGTAATAACTTAGGTTTCATTTTCTCAATTGACACTAATCATTGTTGTAAGATTGATAAATTACTATAACTTCAATCTTATGATCTGATAAACACATCCAAGATAATATTAGAAGGTGTAGGTGGTATTTGAAGTTGTTTGAATACTCCTTATATAATTTAATTATACTGGAACCCAATAATAAATATCTCTATCAAACTTCATTCTAGATTGATTACAATAGTCTTTAACTACTTTTAATCTCTGATTTATTGATAAATATTACAATTTATTTAGACAATATTGTCACTGGTTAAGATATTATTTGAATTAATTCACTACTTTACATTATTTCACATATTCACACAGTGATACAATATCCTAAGGTAGATATCAATACGAATCAATAATAGAGAGCAAAGGATAGAACATTTCTCAATCACTCCATTCTTCTCTATCTCTTTAAAATCAATCACTTTAATGTAGTTGATCCAACGGTACCCTTGCAAAATATACTCCACCACCCAGGCACGAGGGGTCGACCAAACTCGCATTCCTAACCACGATAGTATTGCGAATGGTGTGTGTTTGAATGGTCCAGTGACGCGTCGTGGAAGGGCGCGATGGACCAACCATCCTTATGAACTTGAGTCCATGTCATGAACATAACTAATTAACTTATTATACAATAATAATAATAATAACTTTCATTGAACATTTATACCATGTCACTGAATATAAATATAATGGACACGGATGTGGACAACATTGAGACTAATGTTGAGCCTGCTGCAGTTGCTGAGGTCGAGGGACAGGGTACATTGGTTGACCCTTCAGCATCCATAGTAATCAACTCTGTGGATGATATCAAACATGTCATACTGACATCCAAGCTCACACTGACTCTGGCCAATCGTATCTTCAACTCACCTCTGAAAGATGAGTTTATCGTAACCTACTTCATCCTGTTATCAACCTTGGGTATGTCATTCATTCATTCATTCATTCATTCATTCATTCATTCATTCAATCAAGTCATGTGTCGTCCAACCAATACTAACTTTGTTACCATATTATATAGAGCTACATTCAACTGCCAAGGTATCATTCCTAACATGTGTTATACAGAATAGTCAATATGAGTTGGCCAGGACATTGCTGGACACTCATAAGTTCACATTCGTTGAGATACTAAAGTGTCTAAAGGTCTTGGATTCAAAGCGTGCATTGAAGGTGTATAAGAAGAAGCTAGAGTCAATGGTGTCCAAGTACACCGAGCGTAAAGATCGTCTGACCAAGGCCTCAGACGAGTATCTGGCCAAGAAGGCACTTGATGATGCCGAGAAGAAGAAGCCCAAGAATGACTCCAAGAAAGACTCCAAGACTGAGTCCAAGGAAGACTCAAACAACATCAACGACGATGAGAACAACAACAACAATAATGTAAATAGTGTTAGAGGAAGAGGTGCCCGTGGTGGACGTGGCGGACGTGGCGCTAGAGGTGGAAGGCCAAGTGCTCCTGTGATGGCAGTGACTGAGGATGCTCCAGAGCTTGATAAGAAGATGAATAAGAAGGTGAGAGAGATGCAGTTTGAGCAGAGGTATCAGAGCTCAAAGAGATTCATGGAGAGTAAGATTACAGAGTTGGAGCAGTACCAGTGCAAGGGAAGCCTGTGTGGCTCCGTGACCAAGTTGTTCAAACGTTGGTTCCAGACCGTGCCTGTCAAGACACTGGAGTTCTTTGCACTCGGTCAACCAAAGGAGACGTGGAGGGAGATTGCCAACCTGCTGCATCTGGCCCCATCCGACTTCAAGCTGCCCTGGTTCTTGGAGTTCATGTTTGGCAAGCCCGCACCAGAGAGCACTTCAGTGCGCGCCTTTGACGACGCCAAGGCCCTCCTCGAGGCTGGCAGGCCCGTGGTCTACGGAAATCTGATATCCATCTTCAAGCCACCCTACTCATTCTTGCGCAAGCGGCTTGGCGACTTGTTCACCGACTCACTCAAGGTAAAGGTGGCCACCTATGAGGACCTGTCCACTGTGCTCTGGTGGTATCACGAGTTCAAGGATGTCCATGGCATTGATGACATGATCGTGCGTCGTCTGGCTGCACGCGAGCCACTAACATTGGCCTATGGCACACTGATTGAGAAGACCCTGTCGCTGACCAACTCGGCCGAGCACTCCAGAGTGTTCAATGCCCTGCTCAAGGCGTCCATGCAGCGCCTGTCGACCTTCTCCAACAGGTTCTCGCTGCCACCGCCCATCGCCACATTTGGCGATCGCTCAGGCTCGATGGAGGTTGCCATCCGTCTGTCCACGATCATTGGATACCTGGTCACCAACCTCACGCCCAACTCCACACTGTCCTTCTTCAATACCGAGACCATGAATGCGCCCATCACGCCATCGTCCATTGAGAAGCTGTTCAAGCTGACTGATGTCGTCACGGCTGATGGTGGCACGGCCAATGCCGTGGCGCTCAAGCCATTCCTCGATTCCAAGACACCACTCAAATACATTGTGATGGTGACGGACGAGGAGGAGAATGAGGATGTAGATGGCATGAGGTTCGCCGAGATGTTTTCCAGGTACAAGAAGGAGGTGGCACCTGACTGCAAGGTCATCTTCATCTCGTTCCTTCAACCTAATCAGCGTGGTCACATGGTCTCTGACCTCGAGGACAACTACAACATCGAGCCCATCCAGTTCGTCCTCGATGGTGGCAAGCCCGACGTCACCAAGATCGATCACATGTTAACTTCACTAGCTTGTGAGTCGCCAATGTTCACATGTAAGTAACACTTAAACGATCAATCAATTAATCAATCAATTAGACAAACATACTAACTTATGCATCCTCTCTCACATTAGCCCAACTGGAGTTGTTGTGTAAGGTTATGTCATTGTTTGGAACAGAGTTCTTTGTCAAGTATCTGAATGCCAACTCATCAAAGTTGTTGACTTATGGACTCAACTCTGAGATTGAGGTCATGATCCTGAAGCATCTGCTTCAGTTCTACATGAAGAAACTGCCCAAGGACAAGGACAACACGTTGTCTCACTTTAGTGGCAGAGTGTTCAATGAGGACAACTGCATCAAGATGATCAGCGCACATCTCAAGAGCCTGGTGGACGTGTCCAAGCAAGCTGGTCTGGACACCCTGGTGTCCTTTGTTGAGGACGCAGTCAAGACGTTCAACTCGTTGGAGAGGAAGAAGTCGGTCGAGTTCCTATCCAGTGTGTTTGAGACGCTCGACCAGGACTACTTCATCAAGAAGGTCGATCTGCCCAGCCACACCGGCGACGACCACGATAAGATCGACGCCAACAATCTTGCCACAGACCCAATGGCCTTCAAGGACAGGCTTTGCCAGGGTGAGCTGTCCATCCCCGAGATCGTCACGTTGCTCAACAACAAGAACACAAAGGACAAGTTCATCTCTGTCTATCTGATGCTGCTCAACAACATCGAACTGACGTCCAAGGTCAAGATGAATACACTGTGCGCTGCGCTTGAGTGCAAGATGACCAGCTTTGCTCAGTTGATCCTGTACAATAAGAAGTACAGCTTCAAGGAGGTGTCCAAGGCCATCCAGATACTGGACTCCAAGAGACAGATCAGTCAACTCGAGAAAAAGATGCTCAGTGCTCAGAAGAAGCATGACGACAGGAAGGCCAGGTTGGAGAAGGAGTCCAATGATTATCACGAGAAGATCAAGGCTGATCCAAACAACAACAATGCCACTACCACGACCACAACTAAGACCACTACCTCTGCCAAGGCCAAGCCCACAGGCAAGTTCAAGGGCAAAGGCAAGGGCAAGAGTCCAGGCAAGGGTCCAGGCAAGGGAAAGGGTCCAACCAAAGGCAAGGGCAAGGGCAAGGAGGACAATGCGGCCAAGGTAGTTGGAGACGAGGTCAAAAGTGAGCCAGAGACAGAGCCAGCACCAAAGGACAAGAAGTTGTCGCCATGGGAGAAGAAGCAACGTGAGCAGAAGTTTGAGAACAACTTTGAGGCGAGCATCAAGTTGTTGCAGAGCAGGATCGATCAGTTGAAGAAGTATCAGTTCAATGGTAGTTTGAGCGGAAACGTCATCAAGATATTCAAACGCTGGTTGAAGACATTCCCCGAGAAGACGCTGGAGTACTTTGCTCTGGGCCAGCCCAAGGAGATTTGGAAGGAGATGGCCAACCTCCTCCATCTGTCGCCCAAGGACATGCAGGCCGACTGGTTCTTGCCCTCGGTCTACAACTCACCCCACACGGGCGAGGTCATCAATGCGTTTGCCCCAGAGGAGCTGCCCATGGACACGCTGCTCGAGTTGATCGCCAAGTACAAGCCATCGTACTCATACGTCAGGAAGAGAATACCAAAGGACCTGTTCACTGACGAGCTCAGGTTGATTGTGGCCGGCTATGAAGAGTTGACCACTGTCCTCTGGTGGTACCACGAGCTGGCCAGCTTTGACGTCGACTCTCTGGTCGCCAGACGTCTGGCCAACAACGAGCTGGGCCAGATGTCGCTGGGAACACTGCTGGAGAAGGCAATGTACTTCCAGCATCAGGGCATCCCGCTGTTCAACGACATCATGCCAATCATCAGGAATGCACTCAAGGTGTTCTCGTCCAAGATCGCACTGCCCCCACCCCTGATGACACTGGGCGATGCCTCAGCAAGCATGGACGTGGCCATTAGGTTGTCCACGATCATCTCGTCACTGGTCACCAGTTTGACGGACAACGCTTCGTTGAGGTTCTTCAATCACGCGCCGCTCTGGGCACCAATCGATCCGACCTCTCTCACAGAGGTGTTCAACGTGTCCAACATCATCCAGGGTTCGGGTTCGACGTCGCCCGCTGCTGGACTCTACCCCGTGTTCGAGGCCAACCAGGAGCTGCAGTACCTGGTGCTGGTGACCGACGAGGAGGAGAACTCGCTGTACAAAGGATACAACTTCTTGACTCTGTACAAGGAGTATGTGGCCAAGGTGGCACCCAACTGCAAGCTGGTGTTTGTGTCCTTCCTTCAGACCAATGAGGAGGGCCAGATGATGCAAGAGTTTGAGCAGGAGGGCATCAAGCCACTGCAATTCAAGCTGGACAAGACGCGACCCGACGCCACTAAGATCGACGACCTCATCACCACGCTCTCGTGCCAGAGCGACAGCTTCCTGCACCAGGTCACCGCCTTTGAGACCATGATCAATCTCTGTGGCGAGAAGTACTTCTACAAGTACGTTGGCAAGGGCGAGGGATACTTTGTCGAGTCCTTCACATTCCAGACGCTCATGCATATGCTGAGCATGGTATCACTGTATGTCAGTGGTCAGATGGAGGAGGAGCAGGAGGGAGAGGACACTGGCCTGCAGGCCGCTCTGGACTTGGCCATCTCGACCCGCCAGTTCAAGGTGGTCACACAAGACATCTTGGACAAGATTAAGAGGTTCGCCAAGAAGTGTGGCTACAGCACACTCCACGACGCCATCCTCGACATTGATACGACCGTCATCAATGCTCCCCTGAACGACTACCAGATGATCGAGTCGTTTGTCACCAAGGTTGACATCCTCAGTAAGAACCCAGAGTTGTTTGCCAAGGAGAAGGTAGAGTCGCCCGCACCAAACCTCCTGCTCAAGCCACCCGTCGATGCGGATATGAGCAAGGTGCGCGCTCGCGAGTATGGTGAGCTCAATGAGTACGACATCAATATGCTGTTTGGATACCTGGACGAAATTGGATCACTCAAGAGCTGCTCTGGGGTCAGCAAGCTATGGCGCCAGTGCTCCCTGAACCCCAAGCATTGGACGCGATTCATGAACGCCCGTGACATCCGTCAGCTCGACCTCGTGTTCCTGGTGGACGACACTGGCTCAATGGGCAGTGAGATCAACCAGGTCAAGACCACCATCAACGAGATCGTCGACGAGATCGTGTCGCTTGGATCGATCGAGGTGCGTGTGGGCATGGTCTTCTACAATGATCACACTGGTGGATCAAAGGATTCGGTGGCCAAGGTGTTTGACTTCACCACAGACATACCCGAGCTGCGCAACAAGCTCTCGGCGGTGCAGGTGAATGGTGGCAACGACTTCCCCGAGGCACTGGCAGACGGCATGGCGGCCGTGGGCGAACTCAGCTTTGCACGCTCATCGACCAAGGTGTGCATTCTCATTGGTGACGCCCCACCACACGGCTTCTGCACCAAGCAAGAGGACTACTTCCCCGAGGGCTGTCCATGTGGCAAGGATGTGATCTCGTCGACCAGGGACTTGGTGAGCCGCGGAGTGACCTTCTACTCTGTGGTGTGTCGCTTTGAGAACACGACCTACCAGGTGTTCTCGGCCATCTCTGACATGTCAGAGGGTCGCTGTGTCACACTGCAGGACGCCACACAGCTCAAGGATATCATCACTGGATCGGCCAAGGAGTCCATCCTGCTCGACATGGTGGCCAATGAGGTGCTGAAGGAGTGTGAGTACTGGCGACAAAAGGTGACGTCCTGCACCAGAGAGGAGGCCATCTACCGTGCGTCATATTCCTTGCGTGCCAAGGGTGTGCGAGTGCCACAGTTGAGAGCTCTGGCCAAGAACCAACAGCCAAAGGATCATATTTATCGCTCGATACTCAAGTCCAAGAATCATACAGAGTACAAGGTCAATGTGATCAAGGCCAAGAACTCAATACCAACCAAAGAGCCAAAGATTGGCAAGGCCGCATCTGTCACCACCGTCGACAGTGACTCATCCAAGCTTGAAGAATGTCTGATCAGCATTGACAATGTAAGGAAGATCGCCAAGAAGCATCACTTTTTGTAATTAGATAATAAAGATATTTCCAATCAATCATTCAATAAATTAAACTTTGTTTATTGTGTATTACCCATCGCCATGGCCCAACACAATGTCCATCTGACATGTCCAGATCGTCACCCAATCTTCTAAAGTTATCGGAGACTCCCTCCAAGTCGTCAACGGACTTCATTAGTTCTACAAGGTATGACTCCAACTTTGATCGAGGTATGAATCCAGAGCCCTTAATCTTTTGATTTAACACAAGTGACCAATGATGATCAAACCTCTCTATGATCCTCAACTTGCGAAGGTGATACATGTATACCTGACAAATTTCCAACACATTGGTTATGTTGAAGAGTTTGAAAATGTGAGCGGGGTCATGATCAAATAATCTGATCATGATTTGTAGGATTGAGAGTCGAGGCATGCCATCAGGGAGTGTGAGTCGATATGGTATCCTTAGACGTTGGAGTGATGATGGGAATGATTCCAATGGCAATACTGTGGTGAATTCGTGTCCAAAGTAGAGTGTGCGCACAGACGATGGAATCACACCTGGCGCAATATATTGTTTGAACGATAGTCCAAACTTGAGTGATGTTAAAGATGGTGGAAGCACGGATGTATCCAACACTTGATTGAACGATACTCCAAATACAATCTTGGTAACACTTGATGGGATGTCACCAACATTCAACACCCAATTGAATTGGGTTGGGAACAACAATGTGATCAAGTCGTCTGGCAACACGCCCGTCATTGATTGATTGAATTCATCTGATTGAATGAACTTCAAGTAAAGGTCCATGCCATGGTGATGCTTGGCCAACTTGAATCTTCGATAGAATATGTTAATCTGGGTCAATGTGGATGGAAGACGAGTCGATAGTTGTTGATTGGGATAAGTCCCAAAAAATCCATGGAGTGATTCCAGTGATGAAGGGAGTGCGAATCCATTGGGTATCTTGTCATACATTATTAATGACTTGATTGAGTCGGGGAGCAGTCCCGGTTTCTTTGGTCCCGAACCACTATATTCCAACTTAATAACAGATGACGGGATGGTTCCAGGTACAACCGATTCTACAAACTCAATAAGAAGACCGAGATCAGTCACAGATGATGGAATGATACCAGGTTGCAATGTCTGATCATCAAGATACTCTAGTGATAGTGTTTTAACTGATGATGGAATGAATCCAACTGGACATGATTTGTTGATTGATGTATCCAACTTGGTAACAGAGTCTGGGATTGTTCCGACAACATGTTGATGTTGTTGGTCAAGTACGACATAATATTTTAGATAAGTGACTGATGAAGGTATTGATCCAATTGTCAAAGGATGATTATAGTATGCACTGAATAACAATGTCTTTACAGAGTCTGGTATCATTCCTGATGTCAATTGATGATTGAATCCTCCTAGATCTATGAACTCTACTGTATTTGGGATGTCACCAACAGATATCGTTTGATTAAACCATTGTGAGAAGAATAGATACTTAATGTTCACACTTGGAATAGTTCCAAAGTTCTCTCGAACAACAAAGTATGAACCAGGTTTAACATTGCTTTCAACTATGATCATTTGATTGATTGATTGATTGATGTCAGAATGTGAGTAGAATGACTCCAAGATGATACATACCATAATCTTTAAGATGATGGATCACTAATTGATGTGTGAATGATTGTAGACCATAATGTTGTTTAGTGCCATCGATGAATAGGAATTGATTGAATGATGGATGAAGATATAATCTAAGATAGCTATCTCTATGTTTAAACAAATATGAACAAGTCAATGCCAATGATATACATGAGTAAATATCACGTACATGTTCAACAATATGTCTCAACAACAAATGTGGAATATTCTCCAAGTATGATGATGATGATGTCATTGTCATTATTTGTTTGTTTACTTGTGATCACCAGAACAAAGAATAATCAAACTTGGACGTCTACACCCACATGTTAATAAATTCCTCGAAACTCAGTTTTCATCGCAAGTCATTCTTACTCCCATGTGGACATTGACAATGTGACATAGAGATAATATAACAATGCAAGGAGACACAATATACAAGATGGACTTTGGTAATAATAGTGTGAACAACTACTTTGATATTAGTTGTGACTCATTCTTGGGCATGCACTACTTTCAAAGGAATCAATTGGAGCTTGATAAGTCATTGGCTGAACAAGAACTACAGATAACAGCTAATACTGCGACGACAATGACAACGACAACGACCAATGATCAATCTGACACATCATCGACTTCATCAAAATCATCATCAACCTCATCAACATCATCATCACTGGCATTACCTTTCATTCTTAGACAGATACGACATTTGGAATGTTTATTGCTCACTTGTGATCTGAAGGGATGTGGCAATCCTCCACCTATTAGGACATCAAGTCCCAATGCATCGGGTCATCTGCCCAACAGTAATGAGTTGAGGAATGGTCTAAACAGACAGATATGCAGAGATATGCTACGAGACTACTATCAATTGTTTGATCGAGAGATGAACCGAATCACGCCCATACCCACGCCGCCAGCCAACCTACCTCAACTACTTGGTGAGCTCAATGAGCAAACTCTCATGGCATCACTCAAAGACATCGAACAACTGCTGCCGCCCAACCGAACCACAAGAGCCGACCGTGATCGTGAGAAGGAGAGGATCAAGCAGCAGCAACAACTTCAACAACAACAACAGGCTAGCATGGCAACTTCAATGGACACATCATCATTCACAAGGTCAAACTCTGGACCCCAACAACAAACAAGCGCGACACTCTCTGGCTTCAGCGACACGTACACATCACCTCCTAATCAGTTCAGACAAGCTCCACAGACTCAACAACAACCTCAAACTCAAGCGAAGCAATTAAACTTCCAACAACAAGCACAGCCACAAGTTCAAACACAATCAATGGACTTGGACGAGGACCAACCACCTGACAACCCATTCAAGTCGGCAAAGGTGCAGCTGATAGAGAATCAAGAGAAAAAGAACAAACAACAGCAACAGATGAATCAGAGGAGGCCTTTGCCAACAACAAGTGCAGCGCCAGCAAAGACAAACGCGGGCAAGGTGATTGGCATCAAGAGGAAAGGCTTCATTGCCCCATACAAACAGGACGACGATGACGAGTACACCACTCAAGCACCACCAGACGATATTGTACAGCAGCCATCCAAGAAGACAAACAACAAGCCAGCAGCGGGGACTGGGGCAAAGCCAGCGGCAGGACAGCAGCAACAGGGCAAGAAGGACGACGAGAGTAATCCGGGTGGCATAACAAACGTCAATGGAGTGCAGCTGGATGACGAGCGTCTGCGAAACGTTGAGCCACGCATGCTGGAGCTGATATGCAATGAGATCCTGGACAAGAAGCAGACAACATCGTGGAATGATATTGCTGGGCTTCAGGACGTGAAGAAGCAGATCAAGGAGATTGCCACGCTGCCCCTTCTGCGTCCAGACATCTTCAAGGGTCTGCGCAACCCACCCAAAGGCATCCTATTGTTTGGACCACCGGGCACTGGCAAGACCATGATTGGCAAGGCCATTGCCAACGATGTCAACGCCACATTCTTCAGTATATCAGCAAGTTCATTGACAAGCAAATGGGTAAGTCATTCATCGTCGCGAGGCCATCGCCCAACATATCATCATTCATTAACTCACTCACTCATTCAACCTCAAGATTGGAGATGGAGAGAAGATGGTTAGGGCATTGTTCGCGGTGGCTAGGTGTTACTTGCCATCGATTATATTCATTGATGAGATTGATTCATTGTTGACTCAGCGATCTGATGGTGAGAATGAAGCGAGCCGAAGGATAAAGACAGAGTTCTTGGTGCAATGGGATGGTGTGTCATGCAATGCCGAGGACAGGATGTTGCTGATAGGCGCCACCAATCGTCCAGAGGAGTTGGACGAGGCCGCCCGTAGACGACTTGTCAAACGACTCTACATCCCATTGCCAGAGTACATTGCTCGCTACCAACTCATCCAACATCTAGTATCCAAAGAGCACAATGAAATGACAGAAGACGATATACAACGCGTGGCTGAGAAGACTGAAGGTTACTCTGGTTCCGATTTGAAAGCACTGTGTACTGAAGCCGCAATGGAGAGTATCAGATCCATAACAGACATTGAAACTACATCACTAGATGACATTCCACCAATCACTGTCAAAGACTTCCTCGAGGCCGTAAACAAGATGAAACCAAGTGTAGCACAAAGTGAGCTCAAATCATACATTGCATGGAACAAAGAGTTTGGTGGACGTTGATCATCAATCATTCAGTCAATCAGTCAATCAGTCAATCAGTCATTCATGCATGGACTTGGATTCATTCAAACAGTTTCATCAGTAGACCACACACAAGTTCGCGAACCAGGTCATTGCCACTCATATTCGTTGAAATTGTCGATTCAGCACCACATCAAACAAAACTCTCACTTCATGTCAAATCAAGAAAAGAGGAGGAAAGGTCATTAGTTGATATTAATAAATTAATGAACTTATCCAAGCAATTTAATCAATCATTCAATCAATCAATCAATCAAATAATCAATCATACAAATAATAACTTTAAACTTTAAACTTATATTACATTAATCATGAACGCCTGTAGTAAATATGGATACATTGGAGCTGATGAGTATGAGGACATGGAGATAGATGTCGCTCAAACAAATAATCTATTCGCTGATGACAATACTACCAACAATAACAATAATAATAACAATAAGAATGCTATGTTGGAGAAGAAGCGTGTAAGAAAGACAACAATAAATGTATTAAATATAAAGTTGGGTACTTTGTCAAACAATCCTATTGTGGCCACTGGTGACCCTCTACATTGCGCTGGCTGCAAGGTGATCTTCAGCAACATCAACAACTTTAAGGATGTGCTTTCCAGTGATGGCAAGTCTTACCCAAGCATTCCAACCGGTGGCGGAGTGGCCAATGGCAAGTGGACCTGCGAGTTCTGTGGCGAGCTGACCGACTTCAACATGGTCGAGGAGGAGATCCCCAAGAGCAACATCATCGACTACATCCTCGAGCCAGCGCCCATCACCACCACAACCGTCAGCAACAACAACAATGAGAAGACAGTCAACCCAGACAGCTCCTACGTGGTCTTCTGTATCGACGTCAGTGGCAGCATGGACAGCATCGTCGAGGGCAAGAAGTCACGTATCGCATGCGTGTTGCACGGCATTGTCGAGCAGATCAACATGCTCGAGGAGACCGCCCCCAACAGACGTGTGGCCATCGTCACCTTTAACGGCTCCGTCAGCAGCTTTGGAGACGGCACCAGCGACAAGATCATTAGATTCGACGGTAACGCCTACACCACCATCGCCCAGATCGTCGAGCGTGGTGCCGCCGCTGTTATTGAGAACTGTGTGTCCAAGGCCAAGTTTGCCCTGCAGAAGAAGATCCTCTCGCTAGATGCCAACGGAGGCACTGCACTCGGACCAGCCATCGCCTACTGTGTCGGACTGACCGCCAGCGTTCCAGGCTCCAAGATCGTGCTTGCCACAGACGGCGCCAGCAACGTTGGCATTGGATCGGTTGAGGGCAGAGATTCTGGAAACTCATCCCAGTTCTACGAGGAGCTGGGCGCCATCGCACAGAAGAACGGCACGACCATCTCGGTCCTGACGATTAAGGGCACAGACACCAAGCTCGAGATGATTGGCAAGCTGGCCGACATGACCAACGGTGAGGTAGAGATTGTCGACCCACTAAAGATCACCAGCGAGCTCAAGTCAGTCCTCTCCTTGCCAACCATCGCCACCAACGTCACCATCTCGGTCAAGCTGCACAAGGGTCTCTACATCACTGACCCCTCTGACCTCAAGCTGGACCAGAACTACATCACCAAGTACATTGGCAACGTCAACGAGGAGACCATGGTCACTTACGAGTATGGAAAGATCGAGAACAAGGTCATCGACACATCGCTCAAGTCTCTGCCCTTCCAGCTGCAGATCACCTACACCACGATGAAGGGCATGAAGTGTGTGCGTGTCATGACCATGACACAGGAGATCACCACCAAGCAGGAGGTGGCCGAGGAGCATGCTGATGTCGAGGTGCTTGGCATTAACATGGTGCAGACATCCTCCAAGATGGCATCGGGTGGTGACTACACCTCGTCACGTTTCCACAACATGTCCAAGAACAATCATATGAAGAAGGTCCTTGTCACCAAGTCCAAGTCGCCAAGTGTTCAGCAGCAGGGCGATACCTTGTCTGCTCCATCGTCAAACAACTACATCCAACAGTATGACTCGGCTCAAGTCTGGACTGCACAGGCACAGAAGTTTGAGACCACCGTTGCGCCAGTCCAGTCTGCGCCACAGAAGAAGAACGACGAGACAAGCAACGTACTATTCCAGATGAAGCAGATGAGTTCGAACAGAGCCAGAAAGTAAATAGGTCTGGTGATGTCGTGTACTTGGGATCGCAGTCAGTGTAATCCTGCATAATCAAACTTGGTGTAAATTAAATAATAAATGATTTTAATCACAAAAACGAATCATGATCACTCCCAAAGATCTGATTGATCACACACTTCAGTGCACTCACTTACACTCAATCAATCAAACACACACACACACTTATACAAATACTTGTTTCAAAGGCCTCGCCCACACTGCCTTTCGCACAAGCATCCAACTCAACACATAGTATGAAGAGGACTACCACGTCAAAGGACAATGTCAATGTCCAGGCCACTGGCGCGCAAGACATTGCCAACAGCGCGGGCCTCACAGAGAGACAGAGACAGGAGCTGGCCGACTTGAAGAAGGTCCATCCAGCCAACGAGTTTGGCGGCGCGTGCGGCACGCCGTTCATGATCTTCCTGCTGCCCGTGCTGGTCTACTGGCTGTGGGTGTCGATCGAGTTCAACCAGGGCTACCTGTTGCTGCCCACCGAGCTGTCGGTGAACGGCGTCGCGCAGGTAATCACCACGCTCTACGACTCGGTCACCACCTACGCCCGCCCCACCTGGCGCGCCGCCTCCATCTACTTTTCCTGGTTCCTATTCCAGGTCGTGCTGCAGGTGGTCGTGCCCGGTCGCGTCGCCCTGGGCACTCCGCTGCCCGGCGGCAAGCGCCTGCCCTACACGCTGAACGGCTGGCGCTGTTTCTGGATCACCATGGCCACAGTCTTTGGCGCTGTCGCCGGCGGCTACGTCGACGCCACGCTGCTCTACGACAACTTTGGCAGCATCCTGTCAGTCATCAACATTTGGGCGCTGGTGTTCACGTGCCTGCTCAAGATTCACGCCGTGCTCAAGGACGAGGAGGAGCGCATGTCGGGCCACTTCTTCTACGACTTCTGGATGGGTTTTGCGCGCAACCCACGCATCGGTTCGTTCGACCTCAAGCTGTTCTGCGAGTCGCGTCCCGGCCTCGCGCTGTGGGCTCTCAACAACCTGTCGATCGCCGCCAAGCAGTACGAGCAGTTTGGCTTCATCCCCCTGTCCACCGCCATGGTGTGCTGCTTCCACTTCTGGTACGTGGCCGACTTCCACTACAACGAGGAGGCCATCCTCACGACCATGGACATCGTCTCGGAGAAGTTTGGCTACATGCTGGTGTACGGCGACCTCGCCTGGGTGCCCTTCACCTACTGTCTCCAGTGCTACTACATCCTCAAGCACGTCGACAGCAATGGCGCGCCCATCTCGATCTCACTGGGCTTTGCCGCGCTCGTTCTCGCAATCAAGATGTTTGGCTGGTGGCTGTTCCGCTGGGCCAACAGCCAGAAGCACGAGTTCCGTCGCCATCCCGAGGCGCCCATCTGGGGCAAGCGTGCCGAGTACATCTCGACCAAGCGTGGCACCAAGCTGCTCACCAGCGGCTTCTGGGGCATTGCGCGCCATCTCAACTACACGGGCGACATCATCTGTGCCTGGGCCTGGTGTCTGCCCTGTCTGTTCGACTCGCCCGCGCCCTACTTCTACGGCGCCTACTTCACCATTCTCGAGCTGCACCGATGCCATCGCGATCACCTGGCCTGCGTCGAGAAGTATGGCGATGACTGGAAGGAATACTGTCGTCGTGTTCCCTACGTCTTCATCCCCTACCTATTCTAAACGTCCTTCCGACCAATACACTTTCCGATCATCATTAATCTTTCTATTCCCTTTGAGGGCACGAAGATTGATTTATTGATCGGACCCTTACCCACCCTCACAGCGTCTGGCGCTGTATTGGCCAATGGACCTCATTAAAATAGGCGACTCTGGGCAACGTGCGAAGAAGATAGCTATCGATTATATATAATTGTGTTGACAACAATGCCATTTCTGTTCCTTCTCTCAGGATGCTTCTTGGGGGAGTTGATCGATCTGAAGCTATTGATGCTGCTTCTCGTCCTATTGTCTTGTGAATTCATTCTGTTGTAGTGGTTGTTCATCTGCCGCCAATGCGGGTTCTATAGTAATGTCCTCTGTCTTGAAGAGTGAGTGATGATGATGATGATGATGATGATGATGATGATGATGATGATGATGATGATGATGATGATGATGATGATGATGATTCAC